CTTGAACCCTAAGCCCTCAACCCCAAACCTTAAACCTCTATCTCGGGGCCAAGGATTACACCATCTACAACGCGGGAGCCTTCCCCTGCAACCGAGCAACGGAAGGTATGACCTCTGGTACCTGGTCAACGGGTTTAGGGTTTTTGTTTTTTTTTGGGCTTAGGGTTTCAAGGTCTAAGGGTTTAGGGTTTAGGTTTTAGGGTGTAGGGGCTCTTTGAATTCATGTAAAGAGGATCCTTTTTTCTTCCTAGCGTTACATGGGCTAAGGTACCTCTGTGTCTCTCAACTTCCGCACGAGGGAGGCAGGGAGGGCTTTGGGGCTTAGGGGTTAGGGTTTAGGGGTTAGGGTTTAGGGGTTTAGGGTTTAGGGGTTTAGGGTTTAGGGGTTTAGGGTTTAGGGCTTTGGTTTGAGGGTTTAGGGTTTTGAGGTGTTTAGTTTTGGGTTTAATCCTCTCCGCCCAATATTTCCCTCCCCTTAATAGTAAATACTCCCCATTGTGGTATATTACAGTATGTTGGGTGTATTCAATATTGGGGGGTGGGTGGGTTTAGTATGAGGGGGAGAGGATTTGGTGTTTAGTTTTTTTTTTGGAGGGGGTGGGTGGTGGGTGTCCTCGAAGTCATATATGCGCCGAAGCAGTGGAAATATGGGCTTAGGGGCTGAGAAAGAAGTGAGTACAATTTAGTACAATTCGGATTTTTCCGGCTTCTACATTGTTGTGGGAGTGATGCCCTAACATTCCTCACATTTGTACTTTGCACGCGCAAGCCTTCGGGGTCATACCGTATTCTAGGGTTTGGGTTTGGGAGTCTCAAGGTGCTGCTTGGGATGTGTAGGGCTTACGGGTCCCTTACCTCTGGTTGGCAGAGAATGCAGGAATGTTAAAGGAAACGGAAAGTATTCGGGACTATACAGGGGCGACTATGAGGATCCATTTCTTCATTCCCTGCTAAACAGAGGTAAGGTATCGGACATTCTTAGGCGAGGTGGCATTGTAAGACGAAACCCCAAACCCTACATCGGGAAGTGCCGCCGGTGCATGGCCTGGTCTGCGGGCTAGTGATTTTGGTATAGGGCTTGGGTAAGTAAAACCCTAAACCCTAAACTTTAAACCCTAAACCATACTTGGACCCTTAGGGCTACAAAGCTTTCCTTGAAAGCCAGGTCGTGATCCTGGGTACGCAGTACGCCGGGGAGATGAAGAAGGGCGTATCTTGGCCTTGCCTCACAGTGCACTTCACTGGGTTGGCCTTTAGGGTTTAGGGTTACTGGCTTCATAAGGACCCCCAAAAGTCCTAATATTTCTTCAAATGGGGGTTTCCCAAAATTAGGTGTACCCTTTTTGGGGGGTCCCCATAATAAGGACTATAGTATATTGGGGTCTATATTGGGGTCCCCTTATTTTGGGAAACTACCAAATGGCTCCAAAGGCCAACCAAGTTCACTATCTCATGTTTCCCCGAGTAGAGCGTAGGGATGCTCAGGGTTTATTTCACCGTGTTGAGGCTCTACCAGGGCCTCCGAAGTAGGTAGACTAATGGCCTTTTTTCACATGTGTTTAATGGTTTTTGGCAATTGTTTTGTCCCTTTCCTTGTTGAGGTGCGGGTAGATAAAGGCTTGAAAAGCCATGCAGGTGTTCACCATCATGAGTTTTAGGCTAAGGTTTAGCAAATCCAGGTGTTCACCATCATGAACTACCTCCTGCCCAAGCAGGGCATTGTCAGCATGCACGCCAGTGCCAATGCGGGCAAGGAGATGCTTGGACCTGTGTACCTCGGGAATTCTTGTGCTATACCTTGGCACTTACACCCTGAGAATGGCATTACGGCACCGTGGTGTAGGGAGTTCATGCAAGTTTTGTAGTATCAGCAGTAAACCCGCATCTGTGCCCTCAGGAAGGGAGATGTGACACTCTTTTTCGGGCTGAGCGGTACTGGCAAAACTACCCTCTCAGCAGATGAGAACCGTCTGCTCATCGGTGACTGGGTTGGCCTTTGGGACATTTACATCTTTTGCCATAAGGGCCCTATACCTGAAACCCTAAACCCTAAACCTTAAATCCTCCCAAAAGTGCACCAATGGTCACTGCAGGTGATGATGAGCACGCATGGACGGACCAGGGAGTCTTCAACATCGAGGGAGGTTCATTGTTTGGGGTCTGGGTTTCGGGCTCCCACCCAGCAAAAGTTATATAGATATGCGAAAACCTATACAAGAGTTTCTCAGAACAACCCGTACATAATCCAGAATAGTGACCCCCAGAAACCGCTTAGAATCCCATAGATCACTGGGGTCCTTCAGGACCCCCTATGTTAAGAAATTCGGAAAGCCTGTATAATTTAGCCCCTAAGATCGTCCTTATTACAGACTGTAGGAGGGCACTACCCAAGACATTAGGTTCGAGAGTTAGAGGATGCTCCAGGGACATGGTTTGGGGTTCAGGGTTCGGGGGATTTCAACAATAAGGAGCCCCTGCCTTGAGGGTTTCCATGCCCCATCCTCATTGTCCGAAACTCCCATGTAGGATTTACGGCTCAGATTCAGATTTATGTCGGCACAAGGATGATGAGCCTTCAAAGTTCAGTAAATTGGCCTGTCCAACGAACACCATGGTCATTATCATAGTTGTTGTCCTTCATGATTTGTGTAGGAGCCAGCATAATTGCCAACATTACTGGCCCGGCTGCTTGATCTAGTTATAGTGTTGGCTGCCCAAAATGTGAGATATATATATATATGTATATGCAAGGCTCTGCAGTATCAAGGTTCTTCCTAGTCGCCGTTTTTGCAGGTCGTAAGTGTATTATGGCTACGTTATCCGAACCTACCATGCCAAGCATGCAAGCACTGTACAACTTGCGGGTGGGGCGGCGTTGCCGTTGAACGTGCTGGTCGTCCATTGTGTGGTGGTGTTCAATATTTCAAATCTTGATATATTACTGCCCGCGACGAGTGCTGTCACCTAGTAGATGCTCACATAGCTGCTTCTTGTTATTGCTTCTTGACGATTGATAGCGCTGGGCTGGGCTGTTCTTAACGCCAAGCGGTTTGGGAGAGACAATTTATACTGCAAGGAGTTTGTGAAGGCAATTACAAAAGTTTCTGAATATGCTGTTTCCCACCAGCGAGTTTGGCTTCCTTCCCAGTCAGCCTGCTTAGGGCTACCCTAGGAAAGCCAAAGCCCAAGTTATAGCCAGGAAATATTCATGTCCTGTTGTCTTATACTTGCTATTGCAGAGAACACCCGAGCTTCTAGAATCAGATATGCCTAAAATTTGCTTCCATTCGCTACAATTGAAAATCTTAAGCATGGTTAATAACCCTTTGCCCCCAAAATTCAGCCATACGCCCTAGAGACTAAACCCAAAACCCTAAGCATCGAGGGGACCGAGCCTTGCCAATGCCACTTTCTCAAGAGTACCCCTCTAGAGTTCTTATTCCCGACCCCCGCCTTGATCCCCTGTGTAGAATTCATGTGGGTGGTTGTCAAAATTATGGTCCCTTTTTGGATCCCTATTATAGTACGGCCCCTAATATTAAGGGTACCCAAAAAAGGACCATAATTTTGACAACCACCCATGTATACCCTATATCCCCTTCCCCCGTCCACTTTTACAGAGACCCTTTACCAAAGCCGCTAAGTTGCTACACCCTGCAAACCTTACGCGAATCCCCAAAGCCTACATTTAAATCCTTATGCCTCATGAACTCTAAACCCGAACCTACATGCTAAGTTCGATCCTGAATTGTATTACTTGTAGGTCATGTCATTGAGACCTATAGGAGTAGCCTAAATGCTCGGACCTCAGAGATAGCGCGGAGTAAACCCTAAACAAAATCTATAAGCCCTAAATAAACTCAAAACCCTAAACCCTAAATAGTAGTTTTCACTTTGTTTTCCATTATCCCAATATAACCCCTACAACCCCTAGAAACCCTAAACCCCAAATAAACCCCAAACCCTGAGCGCTGGAGGTTGCTACGCCAAGGCGATCGGCCTGACGCGAGAGACCTGGCTGCCGCTTAGGGTTTATTGTTCGGGGTTTGGGGTGGGGCTTAGGGTTCGGGGCTTAGGGTTTGGGTTTTGGGGGTTTAAGGGTTTATAAGATGTGGGATGTAGGTTTTTATGGTTCAGGGTTGAGGGTTTGGGGCTTAGGGTCCGGGGCTCAGGGTTCGGGTTTTGGGGGTGTAAGGGTTTAGGGTTTGGGATTTAGGTTTTAGGGTTCAGGGTTGAGGGTTTGGGGCTTCGGGTTGAGGGTTTGGGTTCGGGGTTCAGGGTTCGGGGTTTGGGGCTCAGGGTTTAAGGTTGGGTTCAGGGTTTGAGGTTTAGGATTCAGTGTTTTGGATTTAGGGTTTTGGGATTTAGGGTTTAGGTTTGGGGTTTTCGCGTCACATGAGGATTACTGAGTTCATTGGGTTTGTATGGTTCAGGGTTGATAGGACTTGGTGTTTATATGTAGAGTAGATGGTTCAGGGTATCGGATTTACAGTTTATAGGGTTAAGGGTCTGGATTTATAGTATTTGGGAGCTGGAGGGTCTTTTGTTTTCGGCAGAAGAGTTAAAGACATACCCTGAACCCCAACCCTAGAGGAGCGTTCATCAAGGTTCACAGGGAAGAGATGTCAGGGTCAAGATTCAGTATCAGCTCGGGGTTCAAAGTTCAGGTGATCGAGTTCAGGGCTCAGGGAGACAGGTGCAGAGTTCAGGAAATGGAGCTTACTGATTCCAGAATAGGCATGGTTCTGCCATGCTCCCCAAAACCCTAAACCCTAAACCCTAACCCAGGACAAGGAGCCAGAAATTTGGGACGCCATCCGTTTTGGAGCGCTGCTAGAGAGCCTGGCACTGCATACCTGCCGAAGTGGGGATTTCCCAAAATTAGGGGTACCTTTAAAGGGATTATAGAGGTTTTATAGGGGATGTATAGGGTTTAGGGATTAGGGTTTAGGCTTTCCCAAAATTAGGGGTACCTTTTTGGAGGTCCCGGTAATAAGGATTATAGTATTTTTGGGTCTATATTGGGGTCCCCTTATTGTGGAAACTACCAAGTCAGGGTTGGAGTTGTAGCGTCAACGGCTTAAGTAGGAACGAAATGTTCAGTGGGATTACAGTCGTGTTGCGTGGTTTGCCGATGTGGTCTTGGCAGAGCTGTCTTCGATAGAAAGGCTTTGCGGGACAGGGAGTGTTCCATCTACTCTAGCGCTGGGGTGAATGTGTGTGGGTAGGATGTCTTCGAGGTGCAGGATGCAAGTTCCCCTTTCTGTTCGGCCTACATCATTTGATACAGTATGATTTTCATTCTCTTCGGCTATACAGGCATTACCTTTGGGTGAAAAGGGCTTAGGAAGCATGGAGATGTTGGGAGCAAGATTCGATGCGCGGTCGCTATTTTTAATGCCTGCAGTGCGCACAGCACATCCCAGACCCCCCCAGTGCACCTCGTGCTGTAAGTGGTCTTGGTTCTGATGTTCAGTGGAGTTTAGCCATCACATATGGGGGGTGTCGATGAAGCGGGGACCCTACAAGAACATGACAAAATACTATGCTCCTCAGCATCAGGACCACCAAAACCCAAAAGGGTGCCCCGACCTTTCTGGAAACCCCACATACACTCAGAGTGCACCTGGATTGCCTTGCCTCAGCGCCTCGAAGCGGTGAACCTCACATGAAACTGAAAGCTCTGTATGACATGGTACGCCACTTTGGTCCTTACAAGGCTTTGCTCATGGCTTATGCCACTTTGCATCCTTGATTTTCCCGCAAAGAGGAATGTGGTCTTCGACCAGCGGACCGGCGAAGTGGACTACAACGACACCAGCATCACAGAACCTGGCCACTGTTGAAGCAACTGCTGCCATTTCTGGACTGGGTAGGGAAAACCCCAGATATGTCCCCGCAATTCTGTAGTCTGGTATAGGTACCATTGTAGATAGCACTGTTTTGTAGTAGGCCTACCGCGTTGAAACCGCAGAGTTCTGCACTTCTGTTCGACATGCCAGTTGTCAGCATGAGCGCGTCAGCAACCCAGGAGAACACACGGGTGTCCTACCCGCTAGAGTACATCCCGAATGTGAGGCTTTGCTCGCAAGTCAGCGTTTTTTGGGCTGGTTCAATGCTACCTGTCAAGTGTGTTGTTACGTCAATGAACCCTGGGGTTGCGCAGCTTACAATCCAAATAATCCAAAAGTAACCCTAAACCCTAAACCCTATAGTTCCTTCAAAAGAAGGTGTTGGAAACCTTGGGTTGATCTCATTGTGATACGAACACACCCCGAAACGCCAAGCCCCAACACGGAGACCGCAGCCCCTTGAGGCCCGGGAAGACCTGGCTAGGGGAGTTCAAGCCTTGAGTAATCAGCAGATGAACCCCAAGCCCGAGGAAATTCAAGCGTGGAACCTGGGTGCAAGGAAGCTGGGATTTGTGGGCCGCCATCGCAGGAACATCCTCAAACCCACGTGCATGACCAATACTCCCCAATATTCTTGCTAACCCTCAACACTCAAGGGTGCGTCCCGCACTCTGAGCCCCAAACCATTCCTAGCTCAGCACATCTTCCTACACCCTAAACCCTAAACTCAAGCTCAACGCGCATGATGGCACTGCAGTATTTTGCCCGGACTGGTCTGTTCTACCCAGGCCGAGACTGGCAGCCTTCACAAAATCAAAAAACAACACGGCTGCTGGTAAGGAACTTTTCGTACCCTACTATAACGAGGAAACCCTAGTATTTATTATGTATAAACATATACATATATACCCACATTCTGATAACTTCTTTTAAGTTCCTGAGCAGCAACCTACGCAAACCCTGTGGTACAACCATCAACACCAACCGCTGTACCTTCAACTGCTTAGTGAGGAAGATCCCAGCAGTGGCCGGCCATCCGAAGAACATCATCATGCTCACCTGCGATGCTTTCGGGGTCCTTCCTCCGGTCTCCAAGCTCACGCCGGCGCAGGTCAGAGAATCGAGCACATGGGAGGGAGCCAGGATACAGGGTTTGGGATTTGGGGTTCAGCCCCCGGATTTTCGAGGATTTTTTAACTTTTGCTTGGTTTGGGATGATTTTCGCTGGAGCGCTTAGGGTTTGGAAGTTTGTGGCTGTGTTGACTTAATGGTTTACAGGATCTGTGGGGTTCAAGGCTCAGGTAGCTTACAGAGCCTATGGGGTTTTATTTTTTGGTTTAGAGGGTGTAGCCTTATAGGACTGGTGCAAGAAATTGCCAGGGCTGCGGCGCTTACTAGTCGAGTCATGTCATGATTCAGAGGTTAAGAACTCTCCCACCCCTTTATAACAAATATTTTCAACAAGAGACTTCATCTGTTTAAGCGCGTGCTTGATACTAGTGAGCATGTTTTGGCGACGTGATGGGTAGAGGTCTTTGGGAATGCCAGCCCTCAACCTTAGGACCCTATCATATTCAAAATGTTGAGGAATGGGGCTAGCAAAATCCATATCATTACAGAGGGCCTTTGTATGGGCGGGGCTAATACTTTGAAATCCGAAGCCAGCACGTGAGTTCCGATCTACCATGCAGCAAGTGGCGAGCCCTAGCCAGTGTCTGTTTCTGAGCCCCCTTCTTTGCAAGAGTACTGGACCTTAAGATGATGCGAGGGGAGTGAAATTTTGAGGAGTTAATAAAATGCTGAACCCTAAACCCTATCCCTAAACCTTAAACACTAAACCTATAGGGCCTATAGGTTTAGGGTTTAAGGTTTAGGGCTTGGGCTTTCGGGTCCAGGGGTGTAGGCTTTGGGATGATGAGAAGGGATCCACTCTTCGAGGCTGATTCCTACCCAGAGCTCTGGAAAGTAAAGCCCCCTTATGGGTTCCTAGATATTGCCTAAGAGTTGTATAGGGAGCAGATTGGGAGTTCTACATCCTAGCCCTACAGTTAAGGGTTTAGGGTTTAGGGATGTGCGTACTGAGGCCATGTACCACTTCATCTCCGGCTACACTGCCAAGGTGGCAGGCAGATCGTTTCCAACAAACAGGGTCCCAGCATTTCAACCCCCAAATGTGTTTAGGGTTATTGGTTTAGGGTTTAGGGTTTAGGGTTTAGGGTTCAGGGTTGTTCTAACCACCCAATCCACATCTTCAGGGCTTAGGTGCCGGAATGTTACGGGTGCCCCACTGATATTTGAGAATAAGGTATATAAAGGCACAACAACGGCAAGGGCACCGATTTCTTGGCGTATTCTTGTGATTAACTATTAGGTCCCGAGCACCGAACACACGACTTTCAGAAGAAGACAAGGTGGCCCTGAGCCCTGAACCTTAAATGCCTAAACTTTAAACCCCTCAACCTTATGACCCCTAAACCTTAACCGCTCTAAACCCTAAACCCTAAACCTTAATCCCTTTAAACCTAAAACCTTAAACCCTGAACACATTTTTTGGTACTGGCCCTAGGTACCGAGATGGGCGTGACAGAGCCTACCGCCACCTTCTCTGCTTGCTTCGGGGCCCCCTTCATGGTGTGGCACCCTGTGCCTGGGGCATTCAATGGATCTAGGGTTTGGGGTTTAGGGGTCTAGGAGTCTAGGGTGTAGGGATTTAGGGGGTTTAGGGGTTTAGGGGTGTAGGGTTGAGGGGCGCAGGGTTTACTTGGGTCAGGGGGTCTTAGTGAGTTTAATAAGGGGGATAACTGCGGCTCCTATATAGGCATAGGGTATAGGGGTTAGTAGCCTCTGGCCTTCGATGGGGTATGGGTTGATGGTTTTGGGGGCTTAGGTTTCAGGGTTTAGGGTTGCGATACAGAGGAAGATAGGGCTTATATGCAGATATCTAGGGTTCAGTGTTCAGGGTCTAGGGTAGAATTTGGGTTTAGGGTATAGTTTCGGGCATAGGATTTACAACAATTCGGGCTTCAATTTTGGAGTGCCTGTAATAAGGCCTGTACCAAAGAATTTTGGGGAATATTGGGACGACCCCAATTGTGTGGGTTTATGGGTAATCCCTATTTGGTTACATCCAAGAAAAACATTCCCTCTCATGTATCCCGAAGCATTTGAAACCTTGCTCCATTTTGCTTTAGTGATGTCTCTTGAGTTGTAGCATGTGGTGTCCAGCGAAAATGGTCCCTGCTCGCAATCTCTATAGTACATGTGCTCGTACTACTCACTCGCATCACCAGTTGCCTGTCCTCGTAGATGCTGTTATATGAGCCGTAGTCTAAACTCCTTAAAGGGGGGTTATATAGGGGAGTATATAGGGGACTATTATAGGGGTTATTAAGGGGGATACTAGGAGTTTGGACAGTAGCTCATATGAGCACCAGCGCCATCATCGCGAGGGCTATCATGTCCTTTCAGGCGCCCTCCATGGCTAATCAGGAAACAGTTCAAACCCCAAATCAGTCTCGCTGCGCTGTCACTTGTGGTACTGACATTTTGATCTTGCAGCTGCAGCTGACCAGGTGCAAGCCGCCACAGGCTCAAGATAGTTTTGAAGCAACACCAATACGCCATACTTGTCCTTATGTTCTGTAAGCTCCCCTCACAACCTCAAGTTCCTAATCCTCACAACGACTGTTTCCAATATTCAGAAACGCAAGCCCTAAGCCCTAACCTTAAACGGCTCATGAATTGGAGGCCAAGTATGCTGAGCTTCTGGCGGAAAAGATGGCTCACCACCACGCGACTTGGGCTCTGCTACACGGTTTAAGGCTTAGGGTATAGGGAGGTAGGAAGAGGGTCTTGGTTGCACCAGACCCTCCTAAATTAAGACCGTTTCATGGTCTTATGATAGATAAAGGCTCCTGAGTTTGGTGGGTTGGGGATATCAAAGCCATCTTCTTACCGCAAGGTTTCTCCTCAAACCTTCATGTAAGAGGGCTTAGGGTTAAGAATACATCCTGCATCCCGGCAGCTACAAATGACAAAAGGCCCATACCTGATCTTTGGGAGAGCTCGTATCGGTTAGGGTTTAAAGGACATATGGGAGTTTCTCAACATATCACCAAATCTAATCCGTAATGAGGGACTTTATCACATCCTTCTAGCCCCAGTACATCCTCAGGATCCCCCCCAAGATTATGCCTATGTCAATGTCGACAACTTGCATATAGGTTTAGGGTTTAGGGTTGGGTTTAGGGTTTTGGAAAAATCATGCAAGGTGGGTGGTGCTTGAAAATTGCAGGAAGGATGGAGCCCTAGAACCTGATCCCTTACCGTATAGACTCTCACTGGCACCTGTCATCTGAACCCGAACCCCGAGTGCGTGCCTGTAGCTTTGTAGGGCCTACCACATATTTTGATATCCTATCATATTACTTCCGACTACTCTCTACTCCTCATGAAGCACCAGTCAAGGCTAAGCCAAGCTCAACCCTGGAATAATGGAAGGATTTTGGTATCCCAACCCCCAAAATGAGGACCCTATGACTATCACATGAGTAAGGTCCTAAATTTGGGGGTTGAGGTAACCATGGTATCAGGTGAATGCTTGGCTCATCAACACCGGCTGGACAGGCGGTTCCTATGGTCAGAGCCCCAGAGTTTGGGGGGATTAGGGGTACCTTTAAAGGATTAGGGTTTAGGGTTTAGTGCAAAACAAGGGGTTCAGGGGATTGTAGGGACTATATAGGGGAATTTAGGGTTTCAGAATTTGTCGCCTGCCTTATAGCCAAAATGCTGATGCTGGTGAAAAGGTTAAAGGTCCTGCAGACTGCAGACCCTTCTCGACTACATTGGTGTTTGGCAGAAGCCGACCTAGACACTTAATAGCCCTGGTGCTACGCCGTGGGCGAAGCAAGAGGGTGTTGTGTTTCTGGTTTGAGGTCATGCACACCCTAAGCCCTAAATCCTAAAGACTAGATCACTAGATCCGAAACCCGAAATCGCAAGACCCCGGTGCCCCCCCCCTTGTTGGAAGCACAAAGGCCAGGCTTTGGGCTTCAACAATTGGTATTTCTTAGGTGGACCCCCCACCCAGTAATAGTGATTTTAGGGGATAATAGGGCTTATATATTAGGGCCCTCTTATTATATGACTATTACAGGGTGGGGGGGTCCTCCTAAGGTATTCCAGATGGGAGTTTCCCAAAATTAGGGATATCTTTTCTCCTTGGGACTTAGCTTGCACCTTAGCCTTAACTCTTCGGGATTCCCTTTTTCTACTGTTAAAGGTACCTAAGGGTTAACCCTCACTAGGGCTCCTAAGTGGCACATAGTTATGTGGGTCCCCATAACAAGGACTATACTATATTGGGGTCGATATTTGGGTTCCCCCATTTTGTGAAAGTACCCTGTGCAAGCGTAGTTTAGGGTTGAGGGTACCTCAGATAGACCTCGACGTGTTCTTGGTAGTTATCTAGGCGCCCATACAGTACATGGTTGGGGGGAATTCTGTTTTTCCTTTCCTATACCCCTAAACCCTTTTTTTCTTCAGCCCTCCGCCCGCTTCTTTCACGAAAGCTTTCAAGCTCAATCCCTCATGTCTATCTGCTTCGTCTCAGTTACCCTACAAGGTTCCCGAAAATATTTCTTAATTTCTGCTACCTAGAATCCTAATATTTAGCTGATATTATGATTTCTACTGGGGTTCCAAATCCCTTAGAGTACCGGGTTGTTACCTTGCAGTAAGCCCTGAGCAAGTCAGGCGTGGGCCACAGGATGAGCCTGAAGGACTTGAAGATGAGAATGTTTTTGATGTGGGTTTAGGGTTTAGGGATTAGGGTGTGTAGGAAGAGGGTTCCAAATGCTGCAGAGCATATACTTTTTGTGTCGTTCTGGGATATTTCATCTGCAGATGACCGCCAGATATGTTTTGGTTTGAAGTGCCTGGATCCTGTTCCACAGGGGTTGCACGGAGAGAGTTTCAGGGTTGTGTGCCTTTCATGTTCTTCTACTTCTTCCCACCGACATGGAAGCGTTCTTGAGATGACAGCTTAGAGAGTGCAATGTACGGACACTCGAAGTGCCTGTACAGCGCATGCTGCAACATGTAGCCGGATAC